TAATAAACTTAAAGAAAACCTAGTTACCCTTACCTTGGAACTTCTTTGCTCAGCTCTAAGACCCACAACTCCAGTACCCCACACGCGAATAATCTAGACAACACCCTACAACCCGCAATGCGGTGACCAAGAACAACTCTTATAGCTAGAATGAACGGGGGAAAACATAAAGAAGGGTACACTAGGCACATGCAACTTGCCCTAGGTCCCAAACAACGGAGAACATTGAAGAGCTATTTACCCGCTGAAGAACGAAAAATCTATTCGGATGGTTGCGAATGTCTCTACGCCGCGGTCACTTCAGCACCACCTAATCCAACATACAACCACTAAACGTGAGGGAAAGGTAGAGAGAAGGCAGAGAGAAATGGAGGAACAAGCTTTTTAGAGAGAGAATGAGAAACTGAGATAATGAGCTCATATCTGAAAAGCCCCTTCTAAGGTCATAGTGCCCTTAGTGTTATGGGTCTGACTACTTCAACATAAGGCCCAACTGTCATATATTTTCAGGCCCTTACAATATCAAACTTGGAATTTAACAAATTTTAATTTTACGCACTAAAAACATATTTGACTAAGGTATATTTTCATCAACATTAATTAAATAACAACTACAAAATTATCTTAATTGATATTAATAAATAAATAAAATTATAGTTGACCTTGATTGAAAAGAATTACTAATATTAACAAAAAAAAAACTAACTACAATTGATAAATAAGATTTGTTTATGGGAAAAAGAATAATCTTGGTGATATAATCGAAATTAATCACGATTAATTTTTGTTTGAAAGAAGCTTCGTCTTACATGAATAGAAAGAACATAAAATCAACTATGACTAGTAGATGATGTTCCAACTAAAATCAAGATCATAATGTCTCAATCACAACTGAGCTAAAAATATATATAAGAAAATAGTTAATAAACAAATTCATATTCTTACTTTTTTTATTTCAAGTAAAATTTAAAATTATATTATTTTAAGTAATTTAGTTATTTTCCACGATCTTAAATTTTAGTTTCTTATAAATTTTATATTTAAACAACACATGTTATGACAACGTAACTTTATTTTTTATGAACATTATTACCTAACAAATATTTTCCCGGAGATTATTCGTTTTAGTAAAAGCAAGAATGAATAAGAGCTACCTACCAGTTTAGCATAGCTTTTGGTTTAATTTAGACGAAGAGATGAAAGCATGGGTCGTTGTTTTTTCATGAAGTTAATTCTGGTTTCTCCCGTGGGGATTCCACACTTTTTGCGGGCATATGAATTAAATAAATATTAAAATCTCATTTGATTCACGGATAAAGTTCGATAAATTAAATTGGAAAGTATATATATATATATTTACCTTTCTTCAATGAAATTAAATCTATGATTTATAATGAACAAATGGTAAGCTTCTTTCTAACTGATCATTTTCCTATCACTGTTTGTGACCATGTCGGTGAAAAGTTCTCACTGTTGTCTGTGTAACTCGTTTATTTTTATCTCGCTTTTTTCATACAAGTTATCATTTTTAACATACACATCAACATCAATATTTTATAAAACTATATAAAACAATTAGGAAGTGTATTTATTACATGAGTTTAGTTTATAATGAATTTAAATATTTTTCAATTAAATATAGCTATTTTTCAATTGTAAGAAAAAAATGTCATTCAGACACAAATGATGATATCTAACAAATTTGTGAATTTTTTACAATAACCGTTTTTAAATGTGCCGTTTTTAAATGTGTATTGAAAATGCACAAAATTAAACTTAAAATTCAGTAAGCTTTGATAACGCCCAATGAGATATAGAATTATAGTTTAAATGAATTTCTATATCAGTCGATAAATATTAAGAAAAGAATAATCTAATCAAATTAATTCATAATGATTATAAATATTTTTACAATTAATTAGAAAAACAGAATTATAAAATAAATAAAAATAAATAATTTAACCAAATTAATTCATGATAATTAAAAATACTATTGAAATAAATTAGGAAAATAAAAGTTTAAAAAGGTAGTTGAATAAATAAATTTTGCTCAAAAAATATTCAACAACCAGATCTAGAGAAGAACCATATATTCCAACATTTAGTATTGGAAAAAAAAAATTCATATATAAACAGTCATCAATAAAAAAAAGAAAAATAATTCAATAAAAGAAATCGTGGAACGATATCAAATTTGTCAATGTCACCATCAATCACTAATTATTTCGATAAGTAATTTCTTGCAATAAAAAAAATGTAAACAATCGTGAAAAACATAATGGAATGTGAACATAATATATCTATAATGGTTTTATTGTGATTCAATCACAAATTAATTATTTATAAGTTCATCGACTTTTACAATAGTAATTTTAGGAATCATTCTAAGTGCTTTATGACTAAATAACTGTAAAATAATGTTTTCTTTTTGTTATCGATCTACAAATATTACACTCTAATAATACTAAATTGGTAATTTTTCACTTGGGTAGAAGACGTATAAGAGATAGATAGGATAAAAAAAATACTGGATTTATATTATCACTAAGATTGTGTTTATGTTGTTAGATTTAAAGTTAAAGCAAACAAAATTCAGAGCAATGTGAATGTTGATTTTACATATTACAAATTATAAATTATAGATTACAGATTACAAATTAGAAGTTAGAAGTTACATGATTACATATTACATGTTTTAGATTATAGGTTACAAGTTAAAGGATACAAGTTACATGTTACGAATTAGAGATGACAAGTGACAGGTCACATGTTACATGTTATATGTTACAGCCTTACAGGTTACATATTACAGGTTACAGGTTACGGGTTAGAGGTGACAAGTGACAGGTCACATGTTACATGTTACGAGTTATATGTTACAGCCTTACAGGTTACATATTACAGGTTACAGGTTACGGGTTAGAGGTTACAGGTCATAGGTCATAGGTCACAAGTCACAAGTTAGAAGTTACATGTTAAAAGTTTTAAGTTACAGGTTACAAGGTACAAGTTACAAGTTACAAGTTAGAAATTACAAATTACAAGTTACAAGTTACAAGCTTCAATTTACAAGTTACAAGTTACAATGTTACACTATACAGGTTACAGATGACAAGTTACATGCTACATGTTACAGATTATAGGTTACAGGTTACATGTTACAGTTTACATGTTAGAGGATTACAGTATATGTCACAGGTTACAAGTTATACGGTACAAATATATGATACAGGATACATGATACAAGATACAAGTTGCAGGTTGCAGGTCACAGGTCACAAGTTACATGTTACAAGTTATAGGTTACAGGTTACATGTTGCAGGTTACATTTTACATGTTACAAGATAGAGGTTAGAGGTTACTTGTTACAACTTACAGGTTACAGGGTACAAGTTACAAGTTACAAGTCACAGGTTACAAGTTAAAAGTTACAAGTTATTACGGGTTACCAGTGACAAGTTACATTTTACAGATTACATACTATAGGTTACAAGCTACAAATTACAAGTTACAGGTTACACGTCACGGGTTACACCCCATAGGTGACAGGTTTCAAGTTACAATTTACAAGTTACAAGTTTTAAGTTACAAGTTACAATGTTACAGGTTACATTTTACATGTTATAAGTTACAGGCTACATATTACATGTTACAAATTACAGGGTACAGGTTACAAGTTAAGAGTTGCTAGTTACAAGTAACAAGTTAGAGGGTACAAGTCATAGGTTTCAAGTTACAGGTTGCAGATTATAGGTTACAAGTTAAGAGTTACAAGTTACATGACTGCAAGACATAGAGCATCTTCCATATGAGAAGGAGATTTGAAGGTAAACTAGAAAAGATAAAACATCTTAGACGTGGGAAAGGAGATTTTGCGATTTGAAGATAAAGTGAATGTTTTTACCAAAGTGTCCTCAATAGTGATGAAGAGTGATGGTAAACTGATTGTGTGTTGTCACCTATTAAGAGTGTCTTCTTTCATATCTATAAATTTGTTATCCATATTTGAGGTGAGAATGAAATGTGAAATGAAAGATGATGGGATTCAGAGAAGTGATAAATGTTGCATGGATTCTGGACAATTGTGGAAGGAGGTAATCAATTCCAGAAAAAGTTGAAAAGGATTCATAAGAACCGATTCTCTTGTGGATGGATCCGATTCCATGGATTTGACTTTATTGTTTTGTGTTGCAACCTACCACGTTGAATATCCCATTGAATTTATATATATATATATATATATATATATATATATATATATATATATATATAAAATAAAGATAATAATATTATTAAATAATAATAATTAAAATAATATTGACAATAATAAAATTAAATAATAATAATAAATAATAACTATAAAGGATAAAAAAAATATTATATTTTAATCTATTAAAACATCTTATTTTATTTTATTACATCTATCCATAGATTTTTCACAAATTTGACGTCCAAATTTATCTATTTTCACTTCTAAATCCTTTTAAACAAACACAAAAATTTTACTTTCAAATTCTTTCATCTCCTCACTTTCAAAACTATGTTCACAAGTGAAGACAGCGTAAGAGAAAGACAAATAAAACAAGCAAATTTTATTTATGAAAGCCAACAAAACAAATCCCAACTAACGAAATTAAAGAAAACTGATTATGGCTTTAACTCTATTTTAGCTATAATATATTTTTAAAATAATAAATAAATTTCTGTTAAGAAAAATATCCTATTAAAATATATTGTTTGACCATGGTAAATAATTTTCATTTAATTCAGTTTTTATTTCTAAATTTTTTATTCATACAACCTGGTAGAGAGAAATTTTCTTGCTTTGTTCCATCCCATTATCATCCAATCAAATAAAATATCTTTTCTATTCTATCATTCCTATTATATTATTCTCTTTATTTGCGCTATATTTCACCACTCATCCAAACCAATTAACAACACGCAAAAGTGAAACAATAAATCCTTAAACGCAACAAAATAAGCAGTATAGGTTCAGTTACCAAAACATGTCTTACTAGGCTTGTACTTCAAGTTTGCATCAAACGTTAGAGAACTTGTAGATTACCCTTTTACAAACTTAGTATTGATTCTCACATGGTTTAATTTCTGTCAACCCATTGAAATTCAAACTAAGGAATTTAAAAATCTTGTTGGGTATCAAAATACAGGTCGTGTTTCTGTAAAAAAAGTGTTCACCAAGAAATCATACTTTTAAATAGAGAGCACATGTAAACCTAATACTGATGGTAATGAAGGAAAGCATAAGGTTAATAATGAAGGGAACTCAAACACGGTTGTATGCCACTGACTTGCTGAAAAGGCGCCTGATGTATAGGACTTGCAGAGCACTAACAGCGGCCAAGAGAAAATACTCTCCTACTGTGTAGAATACAACACGCTTCCGAGTGCTCTCGTTCGCTACAAACAAAGAGGATTGAGTCAGTGAAAGTTACTATTATGTTCGTAACTATTTTTTCTTAATAGGACACAAAGGAGATAAGATATATCCACGAGTGACAAGACTAGGATATACAAGCATCAGATATAACATTAGTGTTCTAAGCCAATAACACACAACAATATGCTGTTCAAACAAGCTGGTTCTTATATTCATCAATGTCTGAACTGTTTTTATCCTCACAGAAAATGTTCAGATCGTTTATAAAATATGAAATAAACGCCAAGAATATAACGCTACATCTTATCAGAACTGTAATAGACAGGAATAACCCTAAAAATATCCCTTTCTAGCAGAAGCAACGGTAGTTATAACAGAAGTCTGCAATGGCAGCTTGTTACTACACTACTTTTAGGTATGATTTGTCATACTTTCAGAATATGAAAAAACAATCTGAACATTTCATTGGCCAAAAAGTTTCAGGAACTTCACAAACACGCCAATAGGATCTGGCACAAGTAGGCTTCACTTTGGCTGAAACATCTAGCACTTTACAATTAAATGACTGAATGAGTACCAGGATAACTTAAATAGATATGTTCTTCATTTGCAGCATTTGTTTAATCTCAAAATCGATAAAAGGTAAAGATACTGAACGTCTGGGAATCATCCCTGCTATGAAGAGGCTTAGGAAAAAAATATTTCCACACTGCATAAATTCTACAAATGCCCATATATCATTGCAAATATAATATCACAACACAATTACTAGATCAAAATTCCATAACTAGAACAGTGGCTTGCATCATACCAGCTCATAAACAAAGGAAAAAAAATACTTACTGTGACGATGCCTTGCATCACGAGCTTTCAAGTACTTTTGTTCAGCAGTAACAGACTCTAGTGCTTCTCTGAGTTCAGCAATTTTAACATTAATTGGGTCCAAATGCTCTGCAAGCCATTAGAGTCCAATGGAAGTTTGATAATCAACAAATAGAACAAATAAAGGACAATTGGACCATTCTCCATAAACATCAAGAAGTACCTCATGTATATACTATATATTAAAAGCTGTGTGATTAACACCTAAACTTGTAATTTATGAAGTAGGATAGTAGAATCTACTAAGAAAACCCTCTCACAAATTACGTACCATCTTTGGCAAGGTCATGCTCAGAGGGAATATGACCAACATGGATGTAGAAAGAGACAGTCTCAGGTGTTGAGTATGGGTTATGGAAACAAAATTTATACATTCCATGTGCTGGGGCTTTGAAATCAAACTTGTCACCAGAGGTTCCCTTTATACTTTTGACAGTATTCCCAGCGGGGGATGTCACCTGCATAATAGCTACAAAATTAGGATATCTACAAAACTAAAGTTACAAAACAATTTACGATTTCTGGATAGGTGATCTGACAAGTAATTACTGCTAAGTCACATCTAATTCGTATACTTCACATCAGCACAGAGAGATTTTACGCAATAATGCCCCATCATGCAGAGCTTACCAACCAGAGTGTTCCACAGCTTATAACGATGTATTAAACCATCAAAAGGCCTCAAGGTCCCAAACTCCAGTGTAAACAAAAAGTGTGCAATACATGAGCTTAAATCTAATTATGTGCAGAAAATAAAGGTAATCCCTTCCCCAGTCACCATTTTTGGCCTTTCAATTTGCAAACCGACTTCAGCATAAGTACATCAAGTAGGGAATGGAGAATGATTTCCAAATTCCAAGTCAGGGCCTGTTTGTTTTAAAGTTTTGCACAATTGAATTTGATGGCGCCTCAACAAATATCAGTCATAAACTTTCAGTGAAGTGAAATGAGTGATTTCTATTGAAAAGAAAAAAGAAGAGAAAATTGACTTTCTGAAGCATAGACAAAAAGGAACATATACCCCATGTAAAATTTATACACAATTTCACAGATGGTTTTAGTGTTATTTTCTCAATAGAATGGGAGTTTCACCTCGATAATAGATAAATAAAGGTGTACATTAAAGTTCTACAATTTTATCATAAAACTCTAATTCTTATTGGACAACCGTAGAAAAAGCAAGAGCAAAACTATCACTGAATTTTGTCCGTGTCTCCTGCAAGCATGCTGATTTAACTAGGTTTGGTAATTATGTACATAAATGGATCATAATCGATAAAGATATAACAAAATTCCTCTAGAAAATCAAAATGTCAACTATCACCGAGCCCCAAAAATTAAAACCCGACGAAAAAAATCAGACCACCAATAAGTTAACAATTGAAGCAATTGGCAAGCAATTAGGGCAACTGAAACAATTGGCACTGACCGTGAAATCAATGCCGGGGTGATCGGAACTCCAGAAAATGTCATGGTCGACGACAACAAAATTCCCCGAAACGGTGTCTCCCTCGTAAAGCACGTACTCGTAGACGCACTCGACGTCGTTCACTGTCACAGACAGCGATTCAATGCGAGTGAATAAACTCATAATCAAACACATCAAAACCGTCCACATGTTGGCGCTTCTCATTGTGTTTGCACCCCTCCCTTAGGGTTTTATTATTTTGAAAGCAAATAATTGAAAGTAAGAGAATTTTTGGTTGCCGGGAAATAAGAGGCGCTTTCAGATCTTAAAGAACGACTGTGACACCCTCTGGCGAAGCTTGCTTCTTTCTCTCTCTTTTTCTCCTTTCTTCCTCGGCGAATGCAACACAACAAAACGGCGCCCTATGGTTGATGGAGCCGTCGTTTATAGAGCTGACGTGTAAAATGCGTACGTGCACTAGCCAATCAGAGAACGGAGCAGGTGCTATATGGCACAGATGGAACCAAAAAATATATATATATATACACGTTCCTTTTTTTTAGTTTAAATAATATTTTAAAATGCCAATTATACTTTTTCAAATTAGTCAAAGTATATATTTTTATCAAATAAATATTTAAATAAGTCAGAAAACTTACTTAAAATAAAAAATTAAACGTTATACTTTTAAATTTAAGGGAAAAAATTAATCACCTCTAAAATGTTATATTTTAATTCGACTAAAAACATGAAAATAAATTTCTTACTAAACAGTGTCAAAAACAAAATTATATAAATCAATTCAAAATTGGTATTTTAATTCATTTCAAATATACATACTAAATATGTTCATATTTGATTATCGTATTACACAAATTAAAATTAATTTATTACATTTTAATGAAAATAATTAATATTAAATGTTTTTGCGTGTCTATATATATATATATATATATATATATATATATATATATATATATATATATATATCATTATCCTAAGTTGCTCTTGATTTATAAATTAAAATACATGTTTTGGTAATAAAAGAACTATAATACATATTTTGAAAAATACACTCTAACCCTTTTTCTTTTGAGTTTATCTTGGAATTCACCTTTCCAATTAGTAAAAAGTATATTCTTTCAAAATAAAAATTATATTCGATATTTTTTAATCCGAATAGCTGAGAGACTCTATCTACCTTTGGTATATCAAGTAATAACAAATCAACATTAATCATTAAAAAATACAAAAAAAAAAAGAGTGACAACGGTCAATCTGTAAAAGTCTCTATCTTTTCAATTTTCGACTTAATATGTTATTTTACTTAATTTATAACTTTTATTTTGACTTTTAATGTAAATTTTGTTAACTGTTGTCTGAACTCTCCTAAGTCATTTTTTTCTTTCTTTACTTCATTTTTCAACACCCATTTTTGTTAGCTTATTCTTTTATGTCAAATTTTTTAGAATGTATCCATAACATTAATTATCTATTAATGTTTTTATGTTGTCTTTTATGGAAAACAAAGAAAATAGTAAAAGAAATATTATTATAAAATAATAAACATCAAACAAGACAAGGAAATAAGAGATTATACACTCTGTTATTTTTCCTTTTGTCCTCTATAACCTAATTATATATTTTTTATTTTGTTATCTCAAATTCATATTTTTCTCTTCGTCCATTTTATAAATTAGGCTTAAATGCTTACTTCGTAAGGTGAATTTCTGATCAGTAGCTGGTTTTAAAAATGAAGACATTGTGTCCCTATATTATGAAAAATATATGAATAAGGTCTACAAATAAAGAACAAATTCAACAAATCATCAAAGAAAAAGTTGAACAAAAGAGAGAAAAAACTGGACAGCAGAAGATAAAAGAGAAAAAATACGACCACATCAGTATGGACTTAACGCCGTTGCTGTCAACTTAATGGACATGATCTTATTCATACATTTTTCATAGCATAGGGATCCAATGTCTTCATTTTTAAAATCGGGTACTAAACAAAAATTCACCTCTTAACATGCGAAACGAGGTAAACATTTAACCCTATAAATTATTTGTATGCTATGATAGTTAAAGTGTCACTGAATGTTTTAGACCATGAATGTTTTAGACCGATCATTTGATTTTCTTCAAATATAAAAGTTAAGCTTTAAGGAATATATATATATATATATAGGCAAGTTATAATTCTTTTTTTCAAAATTGTTTTTTTCAAGTTCAATATTATTATGTTACGAAATTGGTATCTTTTTGAATAGAAAAAATTGTTGATTTTATAACTTAATTAAGTTGTATACGTATATGAATCTAAATTGAAATTGATATATAATTATAATTTTGGATTTTCGCTTTATTAATTGCCAAAGCTGAAGTTTTTACAACTGATCATAGTCATATAATTTCTTATTTTAATTGTTTGAATCTTTGATTAGAAGTATCTAGTAAAAGTATTTTTTTACATAAAATTTTCATAGTACAGATTAATGATAACTTTGACTTTTGTTATTTGTTTGGTGCGTAACATTTTTTTGTATTTATACAATTAAGTTGATTAGTTTTGTATTTTTGACTGTATTTAATTTAAACGTATGAAGATAGTTTTTGAAGTTTTGTGGTGGAAGAAAGAATTTTTATCATTTTATTGTGTACATTGTTTTTGTTTTTAATAAATGAAGTGGTATAAATCGGTAGAGATTTTATATAAATTGGTGCGTTAAATTTAATCTTAAGGTTAATTGTTTGCTACTTATAAATATCTCGTGTGTTTCTGTTTAATTTTTCTTTTTATTAGATAGAAATTGGTCGAAAAGACAAGGATTTTTAGAAAAGGAAAATCGTCTTATTTTCCGTGCATATCTCTATCTCTTTTATAAGACCATAATAAAATATTCTAATAATATATTACTGTACATACACATTAACAGACATAACTATCCAAATAATTTGGATAAACAATTGATAAATATGTAAAAATAACAATCAAATTAACATTTAACTGAAAGATATACAATATCGTCTGGATTAGAAGAAAAAAAAGTATTAATAACGAAAATTTCGAACTTAACCAAAACAAAAGTAACACTTTTTTCTCCTTTAAATATATTTGACACACCCTAATGAAAAATTGCAATTAAAAAGCAAAACTTTCTTCTCCACCATTCCAAATGGTTTTATTTTTATTTTTATTTTTATATACTTATTTTCCTCATGACATAAAAGTAAACGTACACATAATTTTCTTAACCGAATATATATATATATATATATAATATATATATATATATATATATATATTATTTATTTTTTCTTATTTATGTGTTGCTTTTGATTTTTTATATTTCCAAATTTAGTCTTGATAAATTTTAAAACATTAATAAATATAAAGGGTTATATACTTAACTTTTATAAAATTATAATACAATGTATGCATTCAAATTACAAACTTTAATTATATTGAAACTGAGTTTATATTTGGCCGAACGAAGAGAGAAAACAAACTAGAAAAAAACATAAATGTAAAATTTGGACTTTGAAATTATTGTTTTGGTTTTCTTGTATAGTTTGAAAATATAAATAGCTTAACACAAGTAACTATTCCGTAACAGAATATATGTTGTTTTAATATTTAAATTATTTTAAATATTACATTAAAAAGTTTAAAGTTCCTAAAAAATGTTGGAGATTGAATGCATGCTCTTTTAATTATCTTATAATTATTGCTTATAAGTACATGAATACGTGAATATGACATCATGTTTTATTTATGTTTTTTGTAGAAATATAAGTTTTTTCTCTTTAATTTTGGTAATTAAAGTATATTGAACTATGATTTCGATAGTAATAATTTAAATTAGATTATATTCTGAATAAGCAAAGATTGGAACCATTGGTGAGCTTATATTCAGATGCACCTACTTCCGACTATAAATTCAGAATCTACTTGCTTCGTTTTTTCTTCTCTTCAAATAATTAATATATAATATTGGAAAAACAAATTCTTCATTGCTAAAAGCGAGCTCACAGATGCTATGAAATAATTAATTTATACTTTGACGCGGTGGGAACATGTTTGGGAGATTTTTAAATAAGAAAAAGTTTGGGTTGGTAGTGATATGTACAGAGTGAAACACTTCACCAACTAATGGAAAATTTTCGACTTAGCATTATTCTGTTTCAAAGTCTTAACTTTGCATTCAAAGGCGTTGAAAAATGGAGAAGGCACAGATGCGAGTCCCCAGAATTAAACTGGGTAGCCAGGGCTTAGAGGTAAACTGGGTAACTCAACACAATTGGAAGAATGTATTCTGCCTTTTTTAGTATCTTCAATTCTCATCATATGCTTGTTTTTGTTAATCTCTTCAGAATGTCTGTTTTCATGATCATCAACTCAAGGGATTATTTTGAAAAAAAAATACATAATTCCAATGCGTAAATTACAAATGAATTGTGGAAAATATTATTTAAATGAATCATCAATTCTCCTCTTCTGTTGCTGCTGTTGCTGCTTATCTATACTAATGTCATAAATCCATCTGCTCTTACTCAACTGTAGCATCATAATTTTATTTTCTGTTGGGAGGTGTTCACTGATCTAACAGACTCCTCCAGTTTTGGCATTTTGGTAACTTTTCCTGCTTCTTCATAGAAATGCAGTTGGTTGGTATACCTTAAACAGGGTTTTTAACTGCAGTCGTTGTTGCCGTTTTGTTACAATCCATGATATTAATAATTACAGATAAATGAGATTGATGAGACAGTAACTACGATTTCAATATGATTAGGGTTTCAATGCTATTGAAAAGAGTCCAAAAACCTTCAGCAGACCTGGTCCGTGATTCAATAGTTGTGATAAAAACAGAACCTGCTATGTATATTCATTTGTGGAATGCAGGTTTCTAGGCTGGGATTTGGATGTGGAGGATTATCTGGAATTTATAATGCTCCCCTTTCACATGAAGAAGGGTGTTCAATCATTAAAGAAATATTCAATAAGGGTGTCACCTTCTTCGATACATCGGATCTTTATGGAGATAATCATGATAACGAAATCATGGTTGGCAAGGTATTACATCATCTAACTAATTAGTTTTTTTTTTTAATTTTCTTTTAATACTAAGTGGTAGAAACACATAAGCACTTGAACAAGTATTATATCGTAGTAACTTGATTAGTCAGCTGACTCAAATAAATCACTCAACATACGACGCAAATTGCCTGTATTTATGCCTTAAAAATCTCATTATAAAATGACAACATAAATATAAATTTTTTCAGACAATCTTCTAGTGCAGGAATAACAAACTTGTGGAAAGTTCAAGTCCATTATGATATAATTGTGACCTAATAAGAGTAAAAAGGGAGAGGACGATAGTTAAAACCACTGTATTTACTCCAACTCACTTCATACTATTCTCAATACAGTAGTTTAGTTGGCAATTTTATAGGCAAATTTCATACATTAAAATATTGTAAATTTGCCAAGCTGTGCATTTAAGGCGGTGGAGCATTCTTATCTAGTAGAATTGTATCATAATATAATTAAAAGTGTCTTTAATACTGTAAGCAGGCTTTAAAACAACTTCCCCGAGAACAAGTCCAGTTGGCTACAAAATTTGGTGTTACTGTATCTGAAGGGTTGGTTTTCGGGGTAAAGGGTACCCCTGAATATGTGCGAGAATGCTGTGAAGCTAGTCTTAAGCGGCTTGATGTGGACCACATTGATTTATACTATCAACACAGAGTTGATACTTCAGTGCCAATTGAAGACACTGTAAGCTTTGAATGCTTTTCCTTTCCTGTTAGTTATGTATACCATTCCAATTTTCAACATTTTTAAATTGTGGATGATTATGTGTTTTAACATTGAACTCTGCATGGAAGATGGGAGAGCTCAAGCAGCTGGTAAATGAAGGAAAGATAAAATATATTGGGTTGTCTGAGGCTAATGCTGACACTATAAGGAGAGCTCATGCTGTTCATCCTATTACTGCTTTGCAAATGGAGTATTCCTTGTGGTCCCGTGACATTGAAGAAGAAATAATTCCACTCTGCAGGTATTAAAGTAGGAAGATTAACTCCTATTCTATTTTCTGACTACAAATTATACATTTTTCTTGAGTTTTAATCTGATGTATTTTCTATCTAGTTCTTTCAGTTATGCTTTTAACTTGCATTATCTAAAAAGTATCTCAAAGAATTTTGTTATTGTCTAATGTCTAACTAGGATGCAGTTTGTACTTGTAGAGAACTTGGGATAGGAATTGTAGCATATAGCCCTCTTGGCCGTGGCTTTTTTGCAGGAAAGGCAGTGGTGGAGACGTTGCCTAGTCAGAGCCTTCTGGTATGCAGCTAATGACTAAGAAGTACATTTTTCATGTTTGCATCAAGTTGTAGCTTTTTCCTGTTGCGATGGTTAAGAAAATAACACCAAGGGAAGTTTAAGCTACTTGTTGGATCACATATACGGAGAGGGAAAATGAGATACGAGACTCGAGTTATTTCTATTTCTGCAGTCACTGTCTATTGAAATTTGCTATTATTTTCTGTAACAGACTATGCATCCCAGGTTCACTGGAGAAAATTTGGAGAAGAACAAGCTTTTCTATAAACGACTTGATGACCTGGCTTCTAAGCATGCATGCACTCCTTCACAATTAGCCTTAGCATGGCTTCTCCATCAGGGAAACGACTTAATCCCCATACCTGGTATGTCTTTATTACATTTACAAAGACTTTCATTTCTACATGTTTGATGAGTCCCTTACTATCTAATTTTGCTGTCCATTTTCTTACTTTTCTTTTGTCAAACGTGCTTAACAAATTATGCCAATTTATTTGTCTGAAAAAATTACCGCTCGTAAAGAAGGAGAAAAATAACATGATATCTAGATCTGGTTCATGAAATGTGTAACTATTGTAAGCACGAGAATTTGTAGATTAATTCCAACGACCAAGTGCTTTTATTGTGTATTCCTTGATGCTATCAGGGACTACTAAACTGAAGAACTTTGAAAACAACGTTGGATCTCTGACTGTTAAGCTTACAGATGAGGATTTGAGGGAAATTTCTGAAGCAGTTCCTGATTATGAAGTTGCTGGGACACGAGAGTATGGTATGTTAAGTAACTACAGTTGGAAGTTTGCAACTACACCACCCAAGTAATTGAGCTGAGAGGAATCGTGCAACTCTGTCATGATAATGTTGTATTTGTATTCACTCCTTATGCCTATCACAATAAAATTCTAACTGGAGTACTGTCCTCGGTGTGCATGGAAATTGATGATATTTTCTCTTCCCCTTAAACAAAGTAATCGATTATTCTGGACTTTGATATGATTTCATATTTACATGTGCATTCTGGAACATTTTCAGATTGTTTATTCTGGAACTCAAATTTTTGAGTGTATGGAGGTGCAGAAATAAATTATGGAGGTGTAGAAAGAAACTGCCCGTGACCAAATACTATTCCAGGATCAGGGCCGATCCAAGGTGATGAATTACTTTTCGGCTGTTGCTTCCTGCACCACATCAAATTTCTCCTCCCACTCAATCAAAAAGCTTCCTGGAAAATGTTTTCGTAAAAGGAGGGGTTGATTGATTTCTGGCGAAATTGTTTATTTGTTTTTTCGGAAAAGAAATTCTGGAGTTGATAGGGTGTAGGAAGAAAATGATAGGGTACAGAAAGTAATTGCCTTGCTTTTTTTTTACTTGAACAAATACAGTAACAATTAATAATTAACTACCGAACAATTAAGGAAATAAACGTATGTATTAAAAATAATATACGTATATAAGAATTAAATAATGTAATAAATAATTTTGAAGTATTCAATACTTTTTTTTCCTTTCAAAAGGTGATTATGTTAGTAGCAGCAAGGTGTTAATGGATTTATTAACTTTATAAAAAAAATCAATAAGCACGAGTATAAAAATGGTCTCTGACTATTTATACTAAATTCATCATCCAATTTATATAAAAATAAATAAGTTTGAAATTGGATTGTCGAACAATCTAATCCGATGAACAATCTCATCCAATGCATTGTCTAATAACATTAGTTGTTACATAGATTGAAAAAATAAGACTTCATGAAAATTGTACTGCCGTCCAACCAATTTACTAAATTGAGATCTAAATATAAAAAAGTATTTTATATTTAAATATATGTAGGTGGAATCGGGATTAAATCCTGTAAACTAATCTTACACTTCATCCACAACTTGAAGTCATAGGTCCAATCAAATTCTTAGAAGGCATGTCATCTTAATTGCGTCAAAATTTCAACGAATTACGCTTACGTTCCTCCCTCAACACTGCTTAATCTCACGTCTCATTATTTCATCACTATTTCTTTATAAATTTACTATGAAACTATTTTACATGGTTTATCATTATATTTTATAATTTTGAAAACTCTATTATATATATTCAGCGTAATATTGTATCACAGAGAAAAAATAAAATACCTTTAACATTATATTATTAAAAGAAATCATATGTTGTTGGGTTGATTATTACGTAGATGTGTGTAGAATGTTCTAGGTCTCACCAAAGAAGAAGCGGTAAGAAAAAGTGAAGGGCGGGAGCATTAAAAAGCGGAAAGACCTGATATTGACCTAGTGTTTCTTTATGGTTCTTATGAAAGCCACGTCTTCTAGTTGAGCATGTGTGGACAAGTGAACCCACGTGAACCAATGAGCTTTAGGACCTAGATACACGTGACGTGGAACCTAAATATCCACCACAATACTTGCCATCTAATTCTATTTAACCACCCTTCTTCTCCACTTCTTCTACCGTAGCAAGGATTGTTAGAGCACTGAAGCCTAGTTCATCAAGTTTTCCTCATTATTTCCAAGTCTTTAGGTTGCAGAAGCTTCTTTATTATAAGTCCTCGTCTCTAGCATCTGTCATAGTGTCACATTGTGTGTAACTTGGAACTTTCTCACTCAACCAACTCATCTATGGCTGTCTCATCTTATGCCATGCAATCGATCCTGGCAAACCCTATGATGGGCATGTCCACCAGATCTAGGGTGAACCATTTTGGTATTCCTGCTATGTACTTGAGAAGGAACGTTAGCCTGAGAGTTAGGTCCATGGCTGAGGTAGGGGATCTCACCATGGTTTCAGATATTATAGTATATATAATGTTTCTTTCATGTCGTAATGTTATTTGAATTGTTCCTTATCATTATGGTACTATCATCTGTTATTAACTGTCATTTTTCTTTTGTTATATGCAGGAAGAGCAACAAAGTGAGCCAGCAGGCTCAGTTACACCACCACCATCAGTAGAACCTGTGAAACAACCAGCCACTACTGCCTCACCAAAGGTGAGCTCAGTGTTAAATGTTTAACAAAACATTATGACTTTTGTCGTTCTTTCTGCTTTGAGGTTTGGCCTCTGAAGGTGGAAGGAGATTTCACATTTATTCATTTGAGTTTATAATATTGAGAAGGTGGTAATTGACAGGTGAGCACGAAGTTCTCGGATGTGTTGGCATTCAGTGGACCAGCACCAGAGAGGATCAATGGAAGGCTGGCGATGATTGGGTTTGTAGCTGCAATGGCAGTGGAAGTAGCGAAAGGGCAGGGTGTGTTTGAACAAATATCGAATGGTGGCATCCCATGGTTCTTGGGGACAAGTGTGGTTTTTACACTTGCTTCCTTGGTGCCTCTGTTCCAAGGGGTCAGTGTGGAGTCAAAATCCAAAGGGTTCATGTCATCAGATGCAGAACTTTGGAATGGGAGGTTTGCTATGTTGGGTTTAATTGCGCTGGCTTTTACAGAGTATGTCAAGGGAGGCACCCTGGTGTAAATACCACAGTGACTCACACAAATGGTCTAATAATCATTCGTGGTTAGAGAGACCAATCTATCTGTACCTGTGTTTTCTTAAACTACATATCAATGAACGTAAACAAAATTCATGACATCGATTTCTTGTCTGTCTTGCATAGGAATATGTAATATCAATTATCTTAACGAAGCTTCTTCTTTAAGCAGAGTTAACTACACAGTATAGACGCAGTGTCTTAGATTGCCAATAATCAGAATTGAAGTATGTGCAGAGATGAATGGCATAATAAAGTAAAAGGAATTTTGTTTTAAAAATGAAATAAAAAAAAAATTAATGTAAGATGTTAGGACAGTGAATATAAAGAAACAGCGATATTATCCATCGAAATTGAAATACAAATATTTTGGAACAACATGATTTTTCTGTGTTAACATATATTGAGGAAAGTTTCTGAACACTATTTCAAAAAGAAAATTATTATATAAATAGAGTAACAGAATTAAAGAGTAGTCTAAGTGTACATTATAAACTGTTTCACACCATATAACTGCCGCAACCCCCACATGCAACAACAGAGAACATGAAAACACAACAAACATGGCTAACAAGTAGGTATCGTGCTAATAGTGTTTTGTTCGAGACTTTCCTTCAACATAGTAATACAATAATTTGATAACCTTGTAAACTGAAAAAAAAAAAAAGAGAAAAGGTTTCATAGCGAACTTACATCGTAAGAGAAAGTGTAGGTTTCTTTAAAGTTAATTTATTTTGAAAATTATGGGTCTTGTTTTAAAAAAATAATAAAAGAAGTTAAGTCGTAGTGTAATTGTGATGTTGTTTGGGAAAAGTATAAGTTTTGACGTACGTATTGTAGTTGTATTGTAGTACATCGCGATGATTTTAGTGTAAGTTCAAATCGGTTATTTTTGGGGTAATTTGATTAAAAGCGTAATTAAGTTAAACATTAATTGATAAAAAAAATTGTTTTAACAATTGATAATTTCAATTTAATTTTTTGCATAAAATAAATTTTTTGCATAAGAGAATTGGTGTCAGTCTACAGCAATTTCAACTTTAATGAGATTTATATTTTAGTTAAAGTTATATTCACTTCTAATTATTATCCTTCTCACAACTTTTCCAAATAATATTACTATTATTAAGTAACACGATTTAACCATTTTTGTAATATTTTTTAAACGAAATCCATATGCATAATTTTTAAAATAAACTAACTCCATTTGTAAAAAAAAAAACAAAAGTGTGACATTGTGAGTAATTTCCGTATTTCAAAATCTGATTTAAAGAAAAAATATATTTTTAATTTAATTTTTAAATACCAAATACAAACATATTTTACAATGTATTAAAAAAAATCACAATAAATTAACCTCGTTTTGTAAAAAAACTGAAAGTGTGACATTGCGAGTGAATTTTCGTATTTTAAAAACTGATTTAAAGAAAAAATGTTTTTAATATAATTTTTAAATTTCAAATACAAACACATTTTACAATGTAATTAGGTTAAAATCTAATTAATAAAAAAAATTATAATAGGAATTCACAATTTCAATTAAAACTTTTATATAAGAGAACTCGTGCTATCCATAACAGTTTCAGTAAAATTTATATTTTAACTGATAATTTGATTACTAACTATTTTCCTTCTCACGATTTTTTTCATTTTCAAATAATATTACTGTTACACAACACGACTTAACCATTTATTTTGTTAATTTTTTAAACAAAATCCATATATATAATTTTCAAAATAAATTAACCTCATTTGTAAAAAGACAAAAAATGTGACATTGTAAGTGATTTTCCATATTTGAAAACCTGATTTAAAGGAAAAATATATTTTTAATTTTATTGTTAAATACCAAATACGAACATATTTTACAATAATGTCTTACAAAAAAATTAAAGAAAATTATTTATAAAATTGTTTCAAGTTAATGTTTATCACAATTGTAGAAAGCACTGGTAGTTCATATTTTGAATTCGTCCAGAGGTTTCTAATTTAGGGGTAAATTGTGGTAAACACTTTTACCAAAGCATCACTTTTTCAAGGATGGAACAATGCAAGTATTCGAATAAACAAAAATCTAACTCGAGTATAAAAAAGGAATACATTACAATGTAAAAAATGCTACAATAATTATCATAATAACTGCCTAAGTTTTATTCAGAATATATAAAAAGGAATTCTCAATCGTATTAGTAAAAGGCATAATTGAAAAAAAATACATATCATAATTATTATGCAACATTCCATTATTGTTCAATTAAAACAATGTTGATGAATGATACAGACCTGTTTATCATGCTGACACAAAATACAGAGGCAATACAAAACGAGAAGTTCCAAGATGAAAAAAGGCGTTAGGTACCGAAGCACAAGGAAGTGAGCCCAAAAAACTTATGATATGACATGGATATATTAGTGTCACCCCCTTATTAATTACACGATATCTGAACTTCATCTACGGGTATGGATCTCTACACTCAAATTTATGAACAGAAAAGAATGAGAACAATACACATCTCGGCAGTTTTCTTCTTTTTTCAGAAATTGTATCTATTGCGTATGTACAAATATTCACCAATAGAAACTATATCTTCAGCCACATTTGTAAAACCCCTCGTTTATGGATCAAGCTGATATTCAGGCTTGTCAAAATCACCATTTTGGAGGGTGCTTCCCACCACCCCATTTTCAAGTCCCTGCAAATAATTTCAAGTCAAAGACCAAAACAATAGAAGGAAGCAGTGTCGCATCCAATACAAATGAAATTAAGACCATACTACAATAAATTGATGTTGACCTAACACTACACTACACAGGACAATGCTATAAGACGGAAGGTGGGAACCAGAACTATCCCTTTAATTACGTGTTTAATACGTCAAATATAACG